ACAGTCAAATTAACCAAGGAGACTATGAGGAACTAAACATGTACATAGTGACACATGGTCCAAAAACACCATATTCCTGTGATTTGACTTGAGGTCCGCCATGTTCACAGTATTCTGCTTTTCTTTGCCCAGGGAATGTAGAGGAGGCGCGTGGCATCCTGAAATCCCTGGAGGTGGCAGTTGCAGGACTGGCAATGGTGCGCCTTCGTAGGGTCAGTCTGGAGCGTCGCCATGGTAACTTGGAGGAAGCTGAGGCACTGTTAAGGGAGGCCATGGAGTCTGCGAAGAACGCTACTGAGACATCGTTCTATGCTGTGAAGCTGGCCAGGCAGCTGATGAAGGTGCAGAGAAGTCTGAGCAAAGCCAGGAAGGTGCTGCTGGAAGCTATTGAAAAAGACCAGGTAAGGAACTTCTTGATCGCTTCTTTGATAGACACATGCTTACATGGCTGATTTAAAGGTCTGAACAATGACTCTGCAAACCCTTATTGAAGCCAGAAATGATGCCATTTGGCCAGTAAAGGTCTACAGGCCAACTCCACCAGCATCATTTTACTCATCTCTTCTCACCTTTTTACCTTTCTTGTGAATAAAGTGAATATTCCAGCTATTCCCTACTACACTGCATGTGTTGTGAGTTAGATGCTGATATTTTTATGGCTTTACAGACGAGTCCAAAACTGTATCTAAACCTGCTTGAGCTGGAATACAGTGGGGACGTGACGCAGAACGAGGCAGAGATCATGGCTTGTTTTGACCGAGCCCTGAACAGTCCGATGCCCCTTGAATCCCGTCTCCTCTTCTCCCAGCGCAAGGTCGAGTTCCTTGAGGACTTTGGAAGTGACATCAATATGTGAGTTTTGTGTTACTTTTAGAAAGACAGTAATGGCCATTGTATTTTTTTTTTTTTTGCATTTCTTTTGTAATGTTTGTTGAAAAAGTTTCATTCTTTTACATCTCTTAGGCTTGTGGCTGCATATGAGGAACAGCAGAAACTACAGAAAGAAAGCGAACCCACAAAGAGGAAAGCTGAGAACGGGTATGACAGGTGGATAATGGAACAGGGCTTGGGTCATTTCAACACATCAACAATATTTTTCACAAGTTTCTGAAATAACTTGCCGGTCACACATAAGATATTATGTGTTAATAATATTAACTAATATTTGTAGCAGTTTGACCAGTTTGAAATTTTCTGCAGTTACTGATTGTGTCCCGTATTTGGGACAATCAGCTCAGGGATGTAAGAGGCTATATTTCTTAGTGAAATACTTATCAAGGGAATTTGCTGACATGAACCTACTTTGTCTGCAGTTCTCAGGAACCTGACGCCAAGAGACAGCGTGTGGATGACAGTTCCTCGGGTGCAGCTAATGCAATGACAGACATGCAGGCAAACAACTCTGCATATAACTACAACTGGTACCAGGTACGTTTCATGCCCTTGGTTTCGGTTCTTTTTCTCACCAAGCATGAATGGCCGTTTACAATATCTGTGTATTTTCTAGAGAACTTATTGCAATGAGAATGGGCTGATAAAGCTGTACCACAGATAAGCTCATGTTATGTTATGTTAAGCCTGTTGAAAATGCCATTGATCAAGGTAATTGATGAGCTTTTCTTTTTCTCCTTTTTAGCAACAGTACGGTGGTTGGGGACAGAACTCCTGGGGGCAGTACAACCAGTATGCCCAGTATAACCAGTACTACCCCCCTCCTCCTACATGATTGACAAAATCCTGACATGAAGATGGAGACTTGGAGAAAATCATCCTTTCTGACCTGCCTACATCTCTGAACATGAACAGGGCTTCTTAACACGGTGTCATGGATATTTCAGTCCAACTACAGAAGCTGATTTGTTCCTCCTTTCTTGTTTAGAGTGTGCTTATCAGTTAAATTACACTTTGTAGCCATTGGTTGGAGTATAATAAACTTGGCCCTCCATGGCAGTCATGTTGACCAGTCATGTTTAAAAAAAAAAAAAAAAAAAAATTAATTGCTACATTCATCATCTCCAACTCTGGCTGCTTTTTTTGAGGTTCTTTAATGCATGTTATTTGTGAAGGCAGAGGTATTTTTCCCTATTACAAAGGCTTTTTAATTTTTAGATCGGATGACATAGTTTGGTCTCTTTCTTTGTGTTTAAGATTTAAACTTGTAAAGGAGGCATTTATTGATGTACCTCTGAGTCATGTGTTTCTCCCTCCCAAATGGAAAGATTTTTAATATTTCATGGTTATGTTTCCATAAAGAGAAATGAAGAGTTCCTTGTTTTTTGACTTGATTTCATAATAAAGAGATTGATATCCTGAAGTGTCTCTCATTGATTTAAATGTCCTCCAAGGGTCACTGAAGTTCTCATGAGCTCTTTAGAGACATTATACACACAATCCTTCAATAAAGTATGCATTTTAAAGCATAGCAATGATCTTTTCCACGTTTGCCTGTGCAGTCCATGTGCAAATGACCAGAACCTTGTAGTGTAATAAAAAAAATGAAATGTTGCTAGTTTCTGACAGTATTGTACTGGTTGTGAAAGTGAAGGCATCATTTTCACTGCTGAGTCACGTTAAGGAATTGATCCATAGCCCAAAACTATAAAAATGTTCAAATGGATGTCTCTTGAGAATTTCTTCTGTCTGTAATCCACTATTCAGCATCTCTTTTGGCAGATATACTGATTACTGACTTTACGGATTTACTTAGGTATTTTTTAAGGCCTGTTGCAATGAAATATAGTGGATTATTGCCAATTTTTATGAAGCAAAAGCCAATAATCGATCCGCATCGAGCTCCAAAGTGCAACGGGCGTGGCTACAGAGGCCACTAGGCCTACGTAAATCCGCACATGCGCAGTGCCGACCCTTAAACAGCCCTTTTTATGCCTAGCGTTGAACGACTAGCATCAAACGAGGTAAGGCCTGTGCAATATAAGTGAAAAATCCCTATTATGTAAAACCCCGATAGGTTTTGTTAGGTAAATATAGCTCCTATAACATAATTTATCACAAGTTACATTTTATTTTGAACAGTTTGGAGAAATTCCACGTGTTTTTATGCTATTTTATGAAACGCATGCCCCATGTGGCTAGTTAAGCTAGCGTAGCATTAGCTGCACACCAGTAGAGAAGTCTGCTTGAGCTCCCGGCACGTTGCGTTGTGCTGGTTCCCTTTAGTTTTCGACAGGTTCTTGATAGGGTGCATTTTGTGGTGAAAATTTCACGCTGGAGTGACTTAATTTCAAATACAGGGAAACACGGCGTGTTTGTTAGCAAGTGTTAGCTGTCACGGATAAATCAAACGCCACTGGCTGATTTCCGCGTTTCAAACATTTTTAATGATTATAATCGGCGCTGTATGTCATTTTTTCTTCCAGCATCAAGATGCAGCTCTTCTTGCGTGCCCAGAACACTCACACCCTTGAGGTGACCGGACAGGAGACTGTTGGGCAGATCAAGGTATATGTCTGGAAGTTTGGGCGAATTGGTGAATACGCCAAACTTTTGGTCTCGGTCATCTTTTTTTGATCACTGCTGTTGTTTGTCGTTTGATTGATTTATTTAAACCCAAATATAATGTTAACATGGAATGGTTTATGAAAATCGCTCTTTGTCGTCTCCCAGGCCCATGTCCAGTCTCTGGAGGGTCTCCTTGTCGAGGATCAGGTGCTGTTGCTTGCTGGATGCCCACTGGAGAATGATGCCTCCCTGGCATCTTGTGGAGTGTCAGAGCACTGCACCCTGGAGGTAGCTGGCAGGCTGCTGGGAGGTCAGTATACAGACGCAACCGTAACTGCATGTTTTTCCACCTGAGATGCAGTTTACAAGCTGGCCTGTATGCACAGGTGATATGTCATAAGCCAGTGCTTCTTGATGCTCACATCTTCAATTTTACTTAAATGCCAAATCGGAGCTTGTCTGGAGTATACTGCCTGCCTCATGTATAGCGATTAAACTATCACATCTGTAGCAGAAGCCAAGACAACCAAGATTGTCAATGTTGAATGCACGAATAGAGAGAGATGTTTCAGAAGACTATTGCCCCCACACAAAGTGTTATTAAACTGTAGATATATTATTGGCTGAAATTTTAGGACTTGAGTTTTCTCCAAAATGTCCCAATAATGCCTCTCTATTTTTCCCCTCCACCAGGTAAAGTCCACGGTTCTCTGGCCCGTGCTGGAAAAGTGAGGGGACAGACACCCAAGGTAAGGAAATCCCTTTTCCCCCTGCCTGTCATGCTCTAGTATGATTTTAAACCCATGAATTTACACCTTTTACTGACCTTAATATCAGACATCTTGCACTTTTAATGTAATTTGTTTATATGTGAAAATGGCTTTCACGTCTTCCGTTATAGATGTGAATGTGCTAGTAATTGTGAATTTTATATTATGAACTTGGAAAAATGACATATCTTTGCTGTAACATTGTTCAGGTTGACAAGCAGGAGAAAAAGAAAAAGAAGACTGGCCGCGCCAAGCGTCGCATCCAGTACAACAGGCGCTTTGTGAACGTTGTGCCCACCTTCGGTAAGAAGAAGGGACCCAATGCCAACTCCTAAATGCTTCATTGCCCCACAGGAGAAGCATGATCGCTATCCATTGATTTTTACCAAGTTAAATGTTGTCCTGTACAGAATAAAATTTGGCTTGGATAGAATGAGTGTTGTGTGATGTGTCCTGCAATGGAAGTTTGGTTCTTTATCAAATCAGTAGCTTTTTTAGCAAAGTTTCTTTTAAAAACACTGTGTATTGGAACTCAAATCTCCTAATACATGACTGGTTATAATTACTATACAAGTTTAACTCTTGAAATCACAATTTGTGGTATTTAATGGTTTGCCAGGTGCTCTGTTTGTGATCTACTCGCTTACTTTATTTTAATTAAATGTATAAGTGCTCTGCAACTAATGGTGTGGATGATTAACACACTATACACATCCATTCATATATACTACAGTGACTGGTTATTTAAAAAATGAACACCAGAAAGCAATCTTGTCATTCTGTATGAACCAAGTCCATGAAACAGGTTTATTCATCATTTACATTGTACATGCAAAAGAACAGAACAAAAAAAAAAAGTCTCAGTATGTCTCATATGTACATTATTGACAAGCCATCTCATTTTGGCCAAAAACTTAACGTTGTAATAACTGGTCATTATTTCTTCTTACTCGAACCTGTTGTACATAATGTGATAAAGGAGACAAAGTGCAGAGAAACTGGGCACAGCACAATCAAAATGCCATTGTAAGTTTAATCTTTACAGCAAGGCTTTCAAATGTGATGCATGCTGGCCAATGTTTGTCAGTTAATCCACAGCCACAAGCTCAACTTCAAAAATCAGCTTTGCATTGGGTGGAATTCTGATAGAGCTGGAGTTAAGGAGAAGATCAAATCAATGCAAAATGAAATCGTTAAAAACATGAACCTGATAGTGACCTCCTGTGTTGGCAGGAAAATTTGAAAAACCATCACATTACACTTCAAATGCATACATATTTACACAACATGCACAAAGTGGGACATTGAATCAGCCAAAGAAAAGGATACTTGGACTCTGGGAGACCCTTCTTTCCATAGGCCCACTCTGATTCAATCTCCACACGAGCCGTTTCACCCTTGCTCATTGTTAGAAGGGCCTCATCCCACTGGAAATAAAGGATTACTGATGATGATGCAGTGGAGAGATGTGTCACTTTGAGAAACAGAGAAATCTGGATGCACAGAGCAAAAAACAAAATGGACTTACTCCTCTAATGACTCTGCCCAAGCCAACCTTGAAGCTCAGGGGTTTAGCCTGCTTCTTCTTTCTGGCTGCTGTGGTGAGAGAAGTACAGTGATGTTTTAAACCTGAGCACAGAATCTTCATCATAGGATTTAATCATAAAAATGTATGTAATGAATTTTAAAGGCTTCCTCAAAAGATCATGTTTGGGATGGAGTATCATTTTAAGGTGCAAGTCCGTCATACCTGTGGGAATATTGGTGTCAAACACAGTTCCATCCTCCAAGGTACCAGTGTACCAGCAGCTCACAGTCTCGCCTTTCTTTGGGAAGTTTGTCTTGTCACCTTTCTTAAGCACTGACTTGGTGTACTTGGGCGGACCCTGAGAAAGGCAATGCAGGAACAGTTAATAATAGTTTTTATATTGTATATACAAAGCAGAAATGAACACTAACATCCTGGACCAGTACCTCATCCACCACCTCTGTCTTGACTTCTTTTGGCTTTTCTTCAATTTTGACAGCTTTAACCTGCTCAGTCACCTCTTCTACTGGCTCTGTGCCTTTAAACCTCTGCAAAGACAGTACAACACAGACACACACACAAACACACTGTCTGGATGAGGTTGTCAACCAACCCAGTGTGTACACAATCCCCAGTGATGCTGCGTCACTATGTGTAATAAATGACCATCACTTACTTTGCTCTCAAAAAGCTGATTGTAGGCAATGATCAGTTGTTCTTTCTTTGCTGTTTTGGCAACATTTTTTATGTTGCCCAGCAGCTTGTGCTCATTGAGGAACTGTAGAAGAAAGTGCAAATAGAAGGGTTAGCGTCATTTAACCATGTGTGCACTCCTGCTCAAAACAATGACAGGTATAAGAAGTCATGTCAGTCAGTAAATGTGACTGTTTCTGCTCCTGGTCAGGTGAAATAATGAGTTTTCAGTTATGGCTTTTCTCTGAAATGAGCAGGGCTCCTTTGTATAATATGTATTGTTGTATATCCTGCCTCGCCAGATGCTAAACAGCAGTTGTAGCTCCCCTTAGCTAGCCATGCAGCATGCTGCAATTCCCAGAGAGCGTTAACACTTAAACCTACAAATACTCAAACTGGAATCATGAAGAGACTTAAGGGATAAACATACCGAGTGGGCTGCATTGTCCTGAATGAACTTTATAATGTCTTTTTTTGGTAAATCGTCACTTTTTAGTTGCTCATCGCTCCAGTCCCGTGTTGGTACAGCCGCCATTTTGAGAGGCGAACTGATAAACTTTGACCCCTCCTGGCGTATTTTAAAAACTGCAACCACAGAAAGACTTTGGTGCAGCACTACTTTGGTGCTTTGGTACTGTGGCTCAACTAATCATTTATAAATAACAAACATTACATTTTTGGACGATAAGAATGATATTGATTAAAAAAACTATTTATTTTGAAACTCGTTATTTTAGTGATGCAAATGTACCAAAAAGAAAACAACGTGTGGTTTACATGCTGTAGTAGCCTATACAACAATTCAAAAATAGTATTCAGACATTATATTGATTCATAACATTGACTGAAGAATAGTAAAGCAATAAAAACATTAGAAATTTGTGAAGCCATAAATATTTTTCTTTAATGTCTTTGTTGTTTGATACACAGTATAGTTATATTTTGTCTTGTTGAAATAGGCAATTTAGAATATTTTTATTTCATTGTCCTTATTTATCTGATGCATCTTAGTTTATCATATTTTGTATGTATTTCCCATATCCTCTCTACTTTGTATCTTATTACAGAAGTTTTGATTAATTGTTTCTTCCATTTTCAGTGTTCAATACTCAATCAATAGGCCTACTTTAAATACTTGAAATACGATAAACTGGAAATACAATAAACTGGATAATGCTATGAATAATAAAATATTTGATAAAAAAAAACAAAAAAACATTGGTGCTTTATTGGTAGAGTCCCTTGTATTATATATTTTTAATTTAGCTCATGGATTGTCACGTGATACTCTGAGCTAAGCTATTCAACATGTATGCTGAATCATGACCCAATCATCAAATCAATAAGACGCTCACAAATTGTAAAAGTGCATCTGTGGTTAAATGAGGGATACACTAATTATTTTAACAGTGGGTTACAACTCTCTGAGGTGAATGTCCTGCCACCTAGTGGACAAATATAAGTTTAACTTTCCAGGCGATGACACTGTACACTAGTACAGATATGTGCCTGTGTGGCTTAAATCAACTTTGGCCAAACCAATAGTTAGAAATGGAAAAAAAAACGCATGAAGAGAAAAATAAAGAATAGGCCAAACATTACAAAACTTTACATCTCCAAAGAACCTCTTTAATCAAATTCTCTTGTAAAACCAATGATATTTAAATCAGTTCTATTCATTAAAAAAAAAGCTTTGCTACACTTAATTACTTGTGTCACGTTGTCAGGTAATAGTCTGTGAAGGGAAAATCCTGATTCTTTATTAATAAAATAGATCATTTTCTCTGGAGAGGGCATAACTTTCCAGTAACAAACTATGTAAAAAATGACCTGTTTTGTTCTATGTAAATAAATAGATAGTCTGTATGGCAGCTTATTATAGTAAAAGTAAGTTGTTTCTCAGAAACCTCTGTTTGACAGAAAACAAAAGATTTTTACTAAAAATATCTTCCATTTCCACTTGCCCCCAACATTCTTGTACTTGTTCAAACTTCCTTTGTTTACATCTGTTCATAGCCCATGGCCATATTAATGTTTCAGCTTTTATAGTTATATTTGTAATACATTACCCTGTTTCAGCCATTGCCCTGATTGGCTGCGCACACTGCCTCGTTTCCTTTTGTGTCATTCTGTGTGCTGGGATACATAAAACAGAACAAATTTAACTGCATCCCTTATCTGATGCTCCTCCACACAGAGTATTCAGTCATTAACAGAACAATGATATCCACTATGTACAGATCAGTTATGTAAAGTTCATTTTTAAACCTCTACATTTATTTTAGGATTTGATGAATGAAAAACTAGGACTTCAGTGTACAATCCAACATAACTCTCTATCACCCTCAAGTGCTCTATAAAGTTTTCTTCTTCTGATAATTGGCAAACAGCCTCAGGGGCGTCAGCACTACCTTCTGGACTGAGTTCTTCTGTTTCTTATTCTGTAGTTTTGGGAGATAAATTTTCATATTAATTTTCACTGTAATTGCAAATGTTTACGAAGTGTGAAAGCTGTTCATATTGCAGATCGGATGAATAATGCAGCTGCTCAAATTTTATGTACACTTTAATCATTTGCTACAAGGAAAATTCATGCTATACACTGTTTTTTTTATTGCCTCTGTGTATTTTTTTTTCCTTATTCAAGATTTATGGTTTCTCATCTTTTGATCTTGATTTTGACATTTCACAACCACAACCATTGAGATAAAAACCAAATTAAAAAAATAAGTTCCAACTGTTATCACCCTTTCTCTTGATACAAGTGCTTTAATCTCCTTACTCAGTTATCATGGTACAACACCCAAATGAAGATTTCTGCAAAAATTATACCAGAGTAGGGTTTTCTGAGCAGTAAAAGTAAACAGGTAGCCTTTAGTAGATGATTACATATTCAATTTTCAGTGATTAAGTGTGTGTCTCACTACGTTTCCCAACCAGCCAGGTACTATAACTTTATTCTATGAAGCAATAGTCTCATGTGTTGTGTCAGATTTCAGCTGCCTGCTGCCTTTCTCAGTTAACATGTCAATCTCATCTTTTTTGCATCACCGAGCCTTTCTCTTTGTGCCCTGCTGTTGTACTGTAAATCTAGGATTCATGCATCAACAGCAAGAGATCTAGCATAAAAAGGCCTTCATAAATGTTTCTCATAACTGACCTTGCTTGCTTCTATTCATCAATAACCTTGAAAAGCTGTGCAATGATGATGATGATGATGATGATGATGATGATGATGATGATGATGATTTGCCACCACTATACTTAGCTGTAGAACAGGGTCATGCTGAGTTTTTACCCCGGTTGGTTACTAGGCAACAACAGTGACACTGGGTGAGAAGCTCATGAGGAAGAGGAGAGGGCTAATTATCTCTTTAGAGGAAATCTCCCAGGTCTCATTTCATCTTCTGCAGTGCCTGTGAAGAAGAGATTGTTACGGCAGCACAAAGTGTGGAGGTGAGTAGGCTTCAGGAGAACTGAAATCATATTACAACTCTGTACTTTATAAAACAAGAAGAAAAAAAAAACTGAAAAATGAGCTTCTGCCACCTTTTGATATTTTGACATGACGTTTTCTTTATAGTGACATACATATAGCTAATATTTATCTGCATTATAGTAAAACCACTTTTTCGTTAACACTTGGCCAGGGGGCATATACTTAAATCGCTTTTTCTTATTTTTTCTTTGTCTCATTCTTATGCCGCCTGCGTAATGTTTGCTTTTGCATTTGGAGTGATGAGCATCCCTCTCACTGTTATGATGAAACTTGCATCACAGGAAGTTGCAGGAGAAAAGAAAAGGCGATTGAGGATCATGCCTGGTGTATCGTGTTGTGATGAAGTATTTCTTAGGAATGCAAAGCTGAGAAGCTTAAACGAGCTCACATATCAAACGACGGAGGAATCTAATTTGATGCAGCTCCTGAGAGCTCTTCACATCTACAGGTTACACAAACAAGTGATGCACATTCTCCAAGATGTGCCTCTCTGCACAGAGACAGCAAACAATACAATCCTCAAGTCATGTTTGCACAACTGTGCACTTAGTTACACTCCATCACTCCATGCACCATCAGTCAAATTGTATTGAACAGGCTTTATTTGAGCATTTTGTGGTTAACGCACTGACAACGTATGTACATTATAAGCAAGATATAAGCAATTAGACAATATGTGGAATGGGTGAATTTATAATTGAAAATGTTTTAGTAGTAGTTACCTTGATTTTGATTACTATAAGCCCCTTTCATGGCAGAGTTTGTCAATCGTTTATGTTACTAATAACTTTACACTACCTTTTATGACACGTAAGCAATGTATGATGGGAAAAAAAGTGTCTTATCCACCAACAGCAAAAAAGATATTGTTAGGTTGAGAGGTTGATACTAGTGCCGTCACATTTAACCCTAATATCTGCAGTTTTTCAGTAAGATAATCTATCATTCCTCAGAGTAATAGTAGAACTGACATTGACCTCTCACGATAACAGCTGGGTGTGTTACAGTTTGCCGCCAAGCATCTAAATCAACATATTTGAGAAGCTATGAATTGGCATGTGTTCAGACCCTAACAGTGACAGATTGGTGTAACATTAAAAACATTAGGACACATATATAATTAAAGATTTAACCAAAATTGTTGAAATATGGTCTGCAAATTTATGTATTCTTTTATTCATTTGTTTATTATCACTATTAGCGCACTATCTATCTATCTATCTATCTATCTATCTATCTATCTATCTATCTATCTATCTATCTATCTATCACAGTCACTGCAGTCACCATGTTCAGTCTGACTGCAGTAACAACCTTGAACCTCAGGGGGGTAGTATGCACACATTGTTAATATGGGTGAATCAGGGTCTGTTGCATGGTTACTAAAGATTGATATTTTCAATATATGAGGTTTACAATAAGGCTTGACAGCAGGGAAAATGGCCATGATTCATCCTGTTGAAGAGCACAACAGTAACAAATACCATAAACAGTGTAAATAAATGACAAGTGCATGGTGAGGGGAAACAAAGTGCAATGCTGCTTTCCCATAGAGTCAAGAATTCACTGTCAAGGTGTGTGGATGGTGCTAATTTAGTGTTTATGGAAAAAATGCTCAGTTTTTAATCTGTTTATCTGAAAAAAAACACACATTCTTTATGTGTAACCATTAATTTACTAGTTTCCTTGTGTAAAAGAAATCCTTGTGACTAATACAAAGTGATGTGCGTACCTTTCTTTCTTTTTTTTTGGACCAGTTTTATTTACCAGTGAAATCAGTGTAAGTACAGGAGGAAATATTACTTATGGCCATCATGCCATTCTTTTTAGATTTAACAATGCTTTTCGAATCTATTCATTTGCAGGCCTTGAATTTTCTTATCAACCTTCCCTCTTATCTACTTGCAACAAACACCCTGAGGGTAAATTTGATTAATTTTACAAGTTTAAATGAAAAAGAGCAATAGGGACAGAGAGGCAGGACAAAAGTCAGCGAGGTCAGATGGTTAGTCATTTGTATTGTCAAACAATGTAATTACTTCCAGAGCTATGTTACAAACCTT